AGAAGTCAAATCTGACACTGGAGAAACTGTATTTCAGTTTGTGACACATTCACGGTGATTCTTCACAATGTGGATTGACATGGCCAAATGTGAAGATAGTTTTGAAGCAATGGCAGATATATTAATGCGTGAACAGTTCGTGATCATGTGCTCTACTAACATGTCATTGTTCCTAAAGGAGAGAACACCAAAAGACGTAGACGAGATGATCAAGTTGGCAGAACAGTATATGAAAGCCCATAAAGGGAGTATAACTGGCAAGTCCAAAAATAACCAGTTAAAATTGAAACCAGGGGTGGCTGACCAGAAGATGGATGTCATTAAAGGTTATAAGAGGTTAATAGACAAAAGGGAGAAGAGATGCTATGCTTGTTATAAAATGGAGCACATTGCAAATGCGTGCAAGTCTGTCATCAAGAAGCAGCAGCAGAAAGCTCAACATAAAGCAGCTGAAGCTACTCACAAAGTTGGAGGTGGCAAGATACAAAAGAAGAGTGACTGGCACCGTGGATGCTACTGCCGGAAGAAACAGAATCAAGACAACTCACAACTCATCAGATTTCCCACAAGTAGGAAGTGCTATCAGTATGATTAGACAGTGCATGATTGATGGTCAGCTCAAGTTAGCAAACGGGTTAACAGTGCCAGTGGTGATTGGAGCATGTGACAAACATTGAGAGGTGCCAACAAGCCACAACATGCCAGTAGGTGAAGGCTATGTAGGAGAAAAGAAAGTAAAAGTCCTAGGAGACACTGGGTGCAGTAGTGCAGCAATGAGAACCAGGTTAGTATCTGATGACCAGATGACAGGCAAGGTAGATCAGTATGTGTGTTGACTGGTGGGACAGTGAGAATGTATCCCACAGCAAGAATAAAAGTGGATACTTCATCCTATGTGAGAACCTTGAGGCTATGGGTATGAAGGCACCAATCTACGACTTGGCGATTGGCAATATACTAGGCAGTAGAAGTTTGGAGGAACAATATAGAAATGAGACTGATGAGACATCTGTAGTCACCACAAGAGCTCAAGAAAAGAAAATCAAGCCAGACATCAAGCCCCTGCAAGTCTCCAAAAGTGACATCCCAAATGTAGGTGTATGGGAACTGAAGGAAGCACAGAAGACCCTTCAATGCAGAAGTTTGAGACCATGCTCCGGAGAAAGTCGAGCACAAAACCAAGGGTAAGGAGACTTAAAGAATAGAGGATCAGGAAGGAGCACTGTATCGAATCTACCAAAGTCAGTTTTACTGGGAAAGTTAAACAGATCATATTATCAAGAGTATACCAGACTCAAGTGATGAAATTGCTCACGAGTTGATTGTAGAAGGACACCTAGGAACAAAAAAACAGCAGACAGAATCATCAGCAACTTCCATTGGCCAGATGTAACCAGATTCTGCAGGTCATGTGATATCTGTCAAAGGAAAATACCTTGAGGGAAGGTAGCCAACCCTTCTCAGAGAAAAGCCATTCAGCAGAGTAGCTGTGGACTTGATTGGACCACTAGCACCTGTGTATAACAAGGGCAATTGGTATGTGCTGACAGTGGTTGACTATGTGACAAGTTACCCAGAAACCATAGCATTGCCAAAGATAGAGATGTGACCTCTTTTGTTCCATACTGTATATATATATATATATG